AAGATGTTCTGCTCCTGAATCAGCTGTGTGGGTCTTGCCTCTAGCCTCCTTGCAGGGAGTTCTGCTGAAGGGTTCCCTGCTGGGCCTGCAGCCTGGGTCAGAAGAGGATCCCTGGGCCTGGGAAGTCTCACTCACTCGCGGGGCCTGCGCTCCGGGTCTGTTCAGGATCCCGCGGCCCTGGTCATCTCACTCACTCGCAGGCCTAAGCTCCGGGTCTGTTCAGGATCCCGCGGCCTGGGTCGTCTCACTCACTTGCCGGGCCTGCGCTCTCAGTGTGATCTTGTCTTAGGGGAGAACTCCAAGTCTGTGATGTAAGGACCTCCCTCTAAGGCCTACCTGTTAAAGATTTAACCATCTCCCATATCACCACACTTAAGTCCAAGCCTCAAATATATGAACCTTTGGAAGACATATTTCAACAATATTCAAGTCATAGCATGTACCATGAACATTCACGTGTAAATACATTTTCATTTCTCTGAGATAAAGTTCTGGGTCTTTCACTAAGCTGTGCATTTATTTTTGTGTTGTATAAACTTTATTTTAATTTTCTTTATTCTTTCTTTGTGAACAGTGGATTTATTCCATCATCCACTGGGACTAAAGTTTGTAGCATTAGGCATAAGGCAAATTAAATCTACAATATACCACTTCATACCCAGTACAATGAACAAAATTTAAGACTGACAGTATTACCAATGACATGGAGGAACTGATTTTTATACATTGCAGGTAGAATTGTGCAATGGAATAATTACTTTCTTTTTAAATGCATTTAGTACAGGGTCTACAGGGTCGCACTACATAGATTGGACTCATAGCGATCCTCCTGTTTTCAGCCTCCCAAGTGCTGGGATTACAGGTGCGCACCACCACGCCTAGTCTCAATCACCATCTCGGCATACCCTAAGGTGCCCAAGATCTAACACCAGTCCCTGTGCTTTGCCTAAGCAGGCGCTATAGTCTGCTGAGCTATCTGGCTGGCCCAAGAGTAAGTACTTTCAAAAACTATTTTTCAATATCTATTAAAGCTAATACAGGGACAAGGAGACAGCTAAGTGGCATGAGCACCTGAGTGCCATGCACTAGGTCCTGAATTCAATCCCCAGTACCACAAAAAAAGGCCAATAAAATATTTTTGTATATAACACAATTGATTCATTTTGGGGTACTGGGGATTGAACCCAATATTTTTGTATTGAACTACATCCCCAGACACTTTTATTGTGAGAAAAGGTCTCTTTTGAGTTGTGCAGACTGGGCTTGAACTTGGAGTGCCCCTGCCTCAGCCCACTCACAGTACTAGGAATATATGTTTTGTTTTATTTGCTACATAGTTCAGGCTGGCCTTGAACTCACTGTGTACCCCAGGCTTCCCTTAAATGCCTCCCACAGATGTGTAATTACAGGGATGCACCACCATGCCTGGGTATTACAGTGATGTAATTATACAGATATGACACCATACCTGTACTGATTTCATAACTACATCCAAAGACTGGTATAAATCTGGGCATGGTGGTACATGTCTTTAATCTTAGCAAGGAGACTGAGGCAGGAGGAGTGTAAATTCGAGACCAGTTTGGACAATTTAGCAAGACCTTGTCTCAAAAAGTTTTTTAAAAGGGCTTTAGCATGTAGGTTAGCAAAAGAGTGCTTGCCTAGTATGAAACAAAGCACCAGATTCAATCTCCAATACATTATAACAAGAGATACAGTATTTTTTAAAAAACTAAAGGCAAGCTTTATCTTGAGGATGAAAACAGCTTTTTTTTTTTTTTTTTTTTTTTTTTTTAAATTATCTTTCTATGCAGCTCAAGCTGGCTTTGAGCTCACTTTGTAACCCAGGCTGGTCTCAAACTCACAATCCTCCTGCCTCAGCCTCCCAAGTGCTGGGATTACAGGCATGCACCACCATGCCCAGCAAAACAGAGTATTAAGCAAAGTGATTGTATGCAGATTATATGCTGTATGATTCCACTTCCAAAACCAGACTAAACTAATCTGTTATGATGGAAGTCAAAATCTTTGTTAATTTTGAGACAGTAAAAGAAAAATGAGGGTACTGCTAACACTTCTGACTGTCAAGGGAAAGACCAACATCACTGATACCCTGATCTGAAAACTCAATTCACATTAGTTTCCTGGGGAGATAGCTCAGAGAGTGATATGAATGTGAAACATACAGCTTGACTGCAGACAGTTTCCAAGGGTGATCCGCCAAGGAAGAAATACTATTCCTAGGTTATCTCTGGTCCTGATAGAACTCTGCCTAAAGAACACTTCCAATCTTATTTATTTATTTATTTATTTATTTATTTTGCGGAACCGAGGATTGAACTTAGGCCCTTGCACTTGCCAGGGAAGCGCTTATTCTACTAAAGCCATCTCCCCGGCGACACTTCCAATCCTAAAAGCCTCATTCCAAAAAACAGGTTTGCACCTTTTTATTTGTAGTCTGTATTCTACCATTCCAGTATCTGATTTTCTTTTGATTGATCATTTCTTTGCAGCTGGAGCCCACGAAGGTATAAACCTGGAGGGAAAAAAAGAAGCAGCAGGGAATCCAGGGCTACAGAGCCCAAGGAAAAATCGAACCTAAAACTGTCACTGTCAGCAGGATTCACCCACCTATACCCACCATAAACTCCAAGGCTGGACAGTGGAAATGGGGGTAACCTGATAAAGACAAATCAAGTCATTCTTCTTTGCAAAACGATTCTGTTCATCATATACGTCCACTGTAGTCTTCACACACACAGATAGGCTATAAGGAAAATCTTCCTTCAAAATAGCCCTTAGCCCCAAAATTAACTTAGAACTGCAGAAACCAACAGTTATACAGTCAACGCGACAGAATTAAAAGCCTTTTCCATCACAGTAGGTCACAACAGAAATATCGTATGATGGATGTTCTCAAATCCCACAGTGTTACATACCCCACATCACAACTGTCACCTAAAAGGTCCCGCATCCGAGCAGATACACAAGGGGACAATCACAAAATCATGCCTCCTCACAACCACAAACATGCACGGATACACGCATGCATAGATCTGAGCTCCAGGGCCCGTGAATTCTGTGAGGTCAGGGTTGGTTTATCTCATTGCCTATTTGATCCAGACCCAGTTCATTCCCTGGAGCCAGACAGACACCAACTAAGATTTAAAACTAGAATCCGTTATTCAAGTTCCAAAGTGGCCCGGGGGTCTGTGGGAAATGTAGTTTAAGGTGAGAAAAGCCCGGATGTGAAGAAGCGTGGACTGCGGCCGGGAGGAACGAGCCGCGGAGAGCCCTGGGAGACAGGGTCCACGAGGGAGTGCGCAGGCGCGGGCTGCTGGCCAGTGGCCGAAGGTGAGGCCGGTGGGTAGTCTGGGTGGGAAGCGGCAGGTTGGTAGTGAGGACTTGCCGAGGAGGACGAAGCGGGAGGCAGGAGCCAGGGTGGTAACCAAGAAAAGAAAGGTACCTGGGCCGAGGAGAACGGAGATGGAAGCGAGAGTCCAGGCCCCGGGAAAGGCAAAGAAGAAAGCAAGAACCTAGGAACCCGGAGCGCCAGCCGGGGAGAATGTGGAGAGCAACCCGGAGCCCGAGGCTGCTGTGAGCTCGGCAGCGGCAGGAATTTTCTTTTTTCTCTGCTGAGAAATCCATGCGTGTGGAGTGCAGCTTGGCGAACAACAGGCACAACATTTGAGTGGCTCTTTGTGCTTATCTTTGTAGGTGGGAGGAATGTGTGTTACTTCATATAACGTGGAGCTGATTAAGAAAGTGAGGGGATCTATACAAGTGAGTTATACATCAAATGAGCGTTCACTTGTGTGTTAGAAGGTGCAAATTTGGAGAAGAGACGGGATTGTGAGGGAATGTTTGATACTTCGTGTAGAAAAAAGTATTTTATGTCCCGAGTCAGATCCCCAGTACCAAGAAACAAAAAAAAAAAAAAGTATGTTATGGCCCAGATTAAAGCTGATATGGGGCCGACAAGATCATGACTATGTTGGGTGGTCCAATTGTGAGTATGTGTAATTTTCTGTAGTATTTTCTGTGCATGATCTCTGAAAACTCTGAATGTGGCTTATTGAGTGACTGAACTGGATGCTGACTAGTTAGATATATATTGTTCAGGTTTTCCAAAACTTGACCGTTTCATACACCTGTAGAACTGGACTCTGGTAATTAGACAAATAAAATAAGAGGTGGAGGTAAAAATAATTTTGAGGTGCCAGTCATAGTGGTGCATGTCTATAATCCTAGCCCTCTGGAAGGCTGAGACAGGATTGCCATATTCGAGCCCAGCTTGTTTCAAATTTTGATGAAAGGACTGAAGATGTAGCTCAGTGCAAAGGCTCTAGGTTCAAGCGCTAGTACTGCAAAGCAAAATTTTATCCCTTAATCGTCACTCTCAGAATTTCTGGTTTGGGTGAATTTTTTCTTATGCTGGATGACTTCTTGGGAAATTGAATAATTTCTAAACAGTCTTAGGATAATAAGTCTTTTGAACATTTAAACACAAGGTCAGCCAAAAGCTCAGCGGATTAAAGCGCCGGCAAGCAAGCGCAGGGGCCAGGGATTTAATCCCCTGCCCTTCCATGCCAGTCCCACCCCCGGGGCTTGCTAAAACAGCAATTGAGATTGGGCATGGTGGCACACTCCTGTAATCCCAGCTCTTGGGAGGCTATAAACAGGAGGATTACTAGGAGTCCACTCTACATAGTAAGACCCTGAATACCCTGTAGACACTTTCCTAAAATACTAAAAAAAATTTTTTAAATAAAAAATAAACACAAGATCAGTCTGAGAGTTCACTTAGCTAATGAAAATGTTGACTGAAGAACTCAAACTTCAAACTTGCTTTAAAAACAAAAACTTTCTTTGCTGGGCATGGTGGCACACACCTGTAATCCCAGTACACAGGAGGCAGAGGCAGACAGGAGGACTGCTGCAAAATCGAAACCAGTGTGGGCTACATAGTGAGTTTAAGGCCACTGTGAACTACATAGCAAGATCTGTCTCACCAAAAAAAAAAACTGGGCATGATGATGCATATCTGTAATACCAGCACTTGGGAATTTGAGGCAAGAGAATGTTTTGAGTTAGAAACCAGCCTGGGCTACAAAGCCATCCTGAACTGCAGTGAGACCATGTCTCATAAAACCAAAAAAAAAAAAAAAAAACAACCAGCAAAACCTTTCTTCTTGCTAGAAGTTTTTAGTGTGAAAGGGTAATGATCAAGTTTTTGTCTAATTCCCCAAGTTCTGTTTTGTCTCCTCTTTACTCCTTATTGGTGATTGATCTAGTTCAAATGGATTAAGAACTAAGAAGGGAGAACAATTAAAAGTCAGGAATAAGGAGGCCAACACAACTGGTACCTCTATAATTTAGTGAAAATCATCTCTTACCTTCTGAGAGAACCTGCTTCTGGGACCTTCCAGATACATAGCCTCTTCTCCAGCTGCTGCATTAGTGCTTCCTCTGGGCATTCAGTGGCCCGTCTGCTCTGGTGAATCTTGTTTGTTCAGTCAGTTCTCTTGGATGGCATCCCCAAGACCCCAGGTAGCCTCCATCCATGCGGTGTTCATCTTGATTTAACGTGAGATTTATCCTCCTAGATCACGTTTCCCTCACATATCCTGGGAATATGTACATTTTGTCTAAGAATTCTCCTACCACTTCGGTTGCTAGTGACATCAGGCTGTGAGGGACTCCTTGTTTTGAAGGAGCACTTATTTTTCTCCCTGGGAAACATGATTCAAAAAATGTTATTTTTCTAAAGAGTCATTCTTCTCTCAGCCTCTTGTAAAAAGTTATATTGATGATGGGCTGGCCAAATAGCTCAGTGGATTAAAGGACCTGCAAGTAGGCGCAGGGGCCAGGGGTTTGATCCCCAGGCCTGTTGTGCCGGCCCCACCCCTGGGGCACGCTGAGATGGCAATTGAAACTGGGCTTGGTGGTGTGCACTGTAATTCCAGTACTTGGGAGGCTGTAAACAGGAGAATCACTATGAGTCCAATCCAGTAGTGAGACCCTGAACACTCTGTAAACCCTTCCCTAAAATACAGGGGGAAAAAAGTTATATTGATGACAGCAAAACTTTAATCAGCATCTTTCGAAGACCTTTTTTTTTAAACTCAGGATCTTGCACTTGCCAGGCAGAGGCTATGCTGCTGAGCCATATCACCAACCCTAGAACACCCTATTTTAGAGTGAAGGACTCTGAATTTTGTTTCACTCCCCCTCTTTGGGGTACAAGTTGAGACTGAGGAAGATTTATAAGTTACCATTCTTGTAAAAATGAACAGTGATAACAAGAAACCCAAAGGATTGTTGGAAACATTAACAAATCAGCAGCATGTACATCATGTACTATGTGGGAAAAGATTATATGTACAATGACCCATAAAAGTATGACATAGGAAACTAGTAGTTGTATATGTCCCCAAAAAGCACATTTAAAAATTAAGATTTGAATAAGAAGACAACATACAACATAATAAAATGCAACTCTCATTTAAGTGGGATACAATGCCATTAAAATTTCAGTAAAATTTTTGAACTTCTAAAGTTCTTAGGAGAAAATGAGCAAACCAAAAATCCAGAAAGATAATCAAAGGGGGAATACTTTTTTTTGCCGGGGGGGGGGGGGAGAACCAGGGATTGAACTCAGGCCTTTGCGCTTGCCAGGGAAGCACTTATTCCACTGAGCCATCTCCCCAGCCTGAAGGGGGAATACTTTTAGTGGATGTAAAAATATATTTAAAACCTGTCATAAGCCTAGTGCAGCACACATCTACAATGCCAGAACTTGGGAAGTTGAGGCAAAAAGATTGCCATCAATTCGAGGCCAGCCTGGGCTACATAGTGAGTTTTGAGCAAAACTGGAATACTTAATGAGACCCCCATCTCAAAAAAACCACCAATAACCCCTGTAATAACTACAGAATGATCCTGGTAATTAATTACGTGAACAGATCGATGGAATTAAATAGATGTATAACCAGATTTGCTCTTGTACTGTATATGAAGGAAATAAAGTACATGATAAATATGGTTTTGATGAGTGAGGGAAATCCAGATTATTGAATATCTGGTAATCATACGGCCAAGGTTTTGTTTTTTTTTTAAATGCTGGGATGAACTCAGCCTTGCACATGTAATCACACTAACCATGTGATTTAGCACATAGTATATCACCAAAGTCTTGCTTTTTTCTTTTTGAATTTCCAGACCCTTCATTCTAGGCAAGCACTGTCCTATGATTATGCTATACCCCAGCCCTTAAATTGTGTTTTTGTGTGAGAAAAACACAAGGTCAAATGAGAAAATATTTTTAAAAAATTGTAATTCATACCATAAAAGAATAAATTTCCTCCCTTTAGAAAAGATCTAAAAGCTGGGGAGATAGCTCAGTGGCATAAGTGCCTGCCTGGCAAGCCCAAGGTCCTGAGTTCAATCCTTCATACTGAAAAAAAAAAAAAAAAGTAATGGTATTAATAGAGGATAAAAATAACCTAATAGAAAAATGAAACAACAGATACAAGAAACTAAAGGTTTTTTTTG